TTTAGATATATATATATATATATAAATCAAAAGGCGTAATTTTCCAAATATTGAGATATATATATATAATATATTCTCATATTTTCATGAATTTAGAATTAGAATCAGAATATTATATTTTTTTCTTTTCATATATTCGTAATTCGTAAATTATGGATTTGTATTCAAGTAATTATATCGAAATTAGGAGGCCATGTTGATAATCATAATTTGCAAGATTGCGGGCCATCTTAATTTCTTACTTTATTTATGCGCAATTCATGTCTGGCCGTCTTCCGGCGCTGGAGGCTCCTGGATATTCGTCGTCGGAAAACCGCTCTCATATATTCACCAGGATGACATGATTGGTATTTTGGGTTCGTTTGCGCTACTTTGGTAGAACCCAAGGCCCCACATTGTTAGGGTTCAGGGTTCTAAGCCCTAAACCCTAAACCCTTACAGTACAGTAGCTCCACGCAGGCGGCCAATAGGGGGATTCTGAAGGTCAGCAGAAGCCGGTCCGCAGGGTCTCTCACATGCTAAGAGGGGTTTAGGGGTTTAGGGTTTCGGGTTTGGGGTATAAGGCTCTAGGATGTCTACAGGTTTTTGACGGTTTTGTATATTAGGGTTTTTTATCGGCTGTCGTATGCCTGACAACCCAGACGCCTGACTTCTATACCTTACAACGCCACAACCACGCAGGGCTCTTCTACCAAGCAGTCTTATGGCATGAGGCTCAGGGCTAGATTTTCAACTGAACCGACCAGTCCCGGTGGGCGCTTTATTTCCCGGATTCGGGCTTCCTAGGGCTTAGGGGATTAGGTATTTAGTATAGGGATCAGTCAGGGTGTGGGAGTTGGGCTTGGAGGTTTGGGACTTTCGGATTCAAGAAGGTCCTGGGATTACAAGTTGGGTCTCATACCTGACCTACCGAGTCTGTCACTTGAAGGACTCTGTTTTGGCAAGGGTGGGAAAGAAAAAAGCCTGTCCCTGGTCGCTTGAACGCCGAAGCCTTCCTTGCCCGGTTGGCACGACGCGTCAAAACCCCGTGCAATAGAGGGCTCCGAAAAAAAGATACTGCGTTCATCCCACAAGCCTTGCACCCTGCACAAAATCACTAGAAATAACCCTGATGAGCCTTCAACCACGGAGCCTGACAAACGCGCAAAAACCCTGGTAGTTTGGCGAGGCCTGCTTACAGATAGGATAGGATTTTGGGGGGTTCCCGATCATGATTATAGTATAACATACCGCTAACCCTATTCTGATTCAGGCCCCTGCATTACACAGGGAGCGCACAACTGGCGCACGATCAGTCCACAACCCTATAGCCAGCAGACTCCTTCTCAATCTTGCATCTTGCTGCTGTCGAATGGACAGTTGGTTGAAGGAGCAGATCCATTGCCATGAAAGGCCTTCGATCATTCTTCGCCCCAGTCTATCATCATCAGACCGCTCTGAAACGCGGTGAATCGGGACCCCTCATGCCCTGACCTCGCATTCGAAGGTTTGGGGCAAGTCTGAATTCAGCTGCCAACTATGCCTATCCACGCAGAGATGACACAACGATGAAGCGCGCGGCCTAACAAATGGCAGAGAGTGAAGCTGCTGCTTCTCATCCGCCACTCAGCCGATGGGATTGAACGCAGCTATCTTCTCGACCTTCGCAAACTCCCACTCCTGATTGCACAAGGGGCAGACCGAGCGGGTCTTAAGCCATCGCGAGATGCAGTCCATGTGGAAGACGTGGCCGCAACAGCCGAAAGCAATCGAGTAGCCGTTCACATCCGCCAACTGTGGGTTGGCCTGGGCCTCAATGGAGGGCTCGTAGAGCTTGTTGCGGCAGATGGCACAAGTATCCGTGCAGATATCCCAACCCCACAAGGCGATGGCGCTCCACTTCTTGATCTGGAAGCGCGGCTCCTCGCCCTTCTCCCCCATGCCCCCTAAGCCGCTGGTGTTCCAGCTCTTGATTTCGGCTCTTGGGGCCTCGGCCTCGGGCATGACCTTGTCCTCCATGGCGCCCAAAGCCCCGGGGAGGCGCTAGCCTTGGGGAGAGCCAGACGGCACCTATAGTTCCGGGCAGATAGAATTAGGGTTCTTAGGGTTATTAGGGTTATTAGGGTTATCAGGGTTATTAGGGTTTTGTGTTTTTTTTGTTGCAAGGCAGCAAGTGTGCAAGTGCAAGCTGAGGCTTCGGCCCACCACCCACCGCAACTGCGCACGCTCTTACCCATGCCTACCTCAACGCAGCACCTGCTACGATGCAGCATCGCTTGCCCCAGGGCATCCTTCTGCAAGATCACCTGCCCGGCCGCCGCGGCCCTGGGCGGGGGCCCATGGAAGCTTGAACGCGCTTCGGGCTGGGGAGTTCAGGGTGCAGGGTTTCGGGTGGTAGCTGAGGAGTTCCTACTTGACCGGGTCACGAAGGCCGATCAAAAGCTTGGGAATCCTTGTCCGCATGACTTCGCCCATGCTGCCTGTGGTTCACTGTTTGAGGACCTGTCGGCTTTTCCATCTCCAAATCAGGGCTGCTGCAGTGGCTTTGGATCAGCCCGGCTTCCCGCAGCTGCACTTGACCTGGGCATGTGTGTGAGTCACGTCTTCTATTTTCACATCATGCTCAACGACGCGGCAGGAATGCGGGTGCCTCTCGCATCTTCCTAAATCCCCTCCAATCATGGCACTGACTGCGTCCGCGGCGCCTCAACAAAACCATGCAAAAACGCAAGCATGTCCAACCCACTTCAGCAAGCGATGCAGCATGCAGAAGTGGCCTACCGCAGACATGTAGACCTGTGCTGACCTCGATGCAAGCCCCTAAACCCTAAACCCTAAACCCTAAACCCTAAACCCCTAAACCCCGAAACCGAACTCCGAGGCTCCCGGCTCGCAGCTCACCGAGGCGGAGGGGAACAAAATGAGTTAATGTGGGGCCTTAGGGTTTCGGGGATTAGGGGCCTTAGGGCTTAAGGCTTAGGGCTTAAGGGTTAGGGACCTTAGGGCTTAGGGCTTGGGGTTTAGGGTTTAGAGGCCTTAATAACTAGAATAGGGAGGGTTTGGGGTTAGATAATACTCTGTTTATAATAAGGAACCCCCAAACTAGTACAGGCAATTATTAAGGCCCCTATATAGTAGGGTTTGTTAAGAGGACATGTGTTCTCCCTCTCACTCCGCACGCGGGTTTCGGGTTCAGGGTTTCTAAATGCCGTTTAGGGGCTCAGGGTTTAGGGTTCAGGGTTGAGGGTTCAGGGTTTAGGGGGTTTGAGAGTAGGGCTTTATCGGTTTAGGATTCAAGGATTTAGGATTTAGGGTTTCATAGGTTTTAGTATAGGGGCGTCAAGAAGTACAATAGGGCTCCTTAAAAGGGTTCTAGCAGTTCTTCTAAAGGCTCTAAATAAGCTTCCTTTGAGGGGTTCCATTAAGAGGCCATTCTCAAAGACCACTACAAGGGATACCATAAGAGGTACTAAAAGGGTTGCTGCAAAGGGATGCTATATGGGACACTTTTAGGCATCCTATAAGGCATACGATGAAGGATAGCATAAGGGAGACTAATTACGACGGCTCCTTTCAGGCTTCCGTTGGGAAGCGGAATAAACGTAACCTACAAGCATAGGGGAGCCTATAAATCTCGCATAAGCGTAACCTAAGGTTTCGAAAACGGGGCCTTAAGACCTAGAATGGGGTTCCTGTAACAAGGTTCTTGTGAAGGCTCGAGGGCACTGATACTAAAAGGGGGTCTCCTAAGAGAGACGATAAGGGAGACTATACGTAGATGCTTCTTTAAGGCTTCCTTCGCGGGTTGGTTTAAGGGTTGTTTGGTATAGAGGCCGTAAGAATTAAATGCAGAATAAGGGCCCTCTTTTGGTGCTCGTTCACGGTCTTGTCAGACGTTCGGATTGCAGTATTGGGTTTGTTGTGTGAATGTGGCTTGCAGCACTCCTAAGCCAGAAGGCTGGCGGAGACGGCAAACAGGATGCATTCTGCAGTTCTGAACTTACATGGTAGGCCAGGCCTCGCAAAGCTCGGTGCCTGGTCTAGCAGTGGTCTTGCAAAGACAGCTCTCAAGGCAATGAGGCTGGGTCCGAGAAAACGCCCCGAAAGAATGATTTCTGGCGATTCCATGGGCCGTGCTGACAACGAAAGTGTTCGCTTCTTGTCGGGGTCGTTGTCGGGGTTAGGCGCCGTGGGCTGTCGGCCTTGCCACACACGATTTTTCCCCAGCAAGCAGCAGGATCATGCTCAGTGTCCCAGCAGGCTAGCGATTCCCATCACGCTTTGTTGATGAAGTTGAGCCTAGTCCTACCCCCTTGTCTCAATCAAGTACGCAGCCAGCAGTGCTCCTCCTCTATGCCATAAACTGACCAGCCAGTGGTTCACCCAAGTTTCAAGCCTGTTGAGCTCAGTATGCAGTTCTCTTCTGGCTTTGAAAATCTGTATATCCAAAAGACTAGCCGGCGTGAAGGGGCAAGGCCGAAGTTTGTCGGATTGCTCGATCAAAGCGCGTACGTTACTACTCGTCACCATCTACTCATCGTCTCGAACTTCCAAGCTGGTTCACGTCCTCTCCGCATGTTATGGAAACTATCAATACCTACAGTAACCTATATGTCGAGAATACCATGCTGCCAAACTCCAGGGTTGAGGACTTTATCAACGGCGTGCCGGGGTTCTGTGCCAGAGCTGCTGGAACGTGAGACCCGTGCCAGTGGCTTAAACGACTTCTTTCTACCCCGGTCCGGATTTCCGAGAGCACATCCAATGTGCCTGTGAATCTAGCACTGTTGAACAGCGATAGGGCCCAACTCACAACGCCACCAACCCAGCCATGTCTTCGTCTGTCTGGCTGGACGTAGTATATGTATATATGATATGTGGCCATATATATAGATATATATATATATACACATGCGCCTGCGAATTCTGCGTTCTCGAAAGAGAGAATGTTTCTTTCATTTCGACATGTCGACTCAAGGGGATGCAGAGCCCGTCACGGAAACCTCGGTATCTGTCAAAACCTGAGACCACCATCTCAGGAAGTAAGCCGCACCTGCGCGACTGTTCTCACCCGCCTGTCGGTAAGTCCATAATTTCAATGTAGACTTCGCTGAAGCAATCTTGGTCGTTCCTGAGATCATGGCCCAATTTCGACCCTACGACTGTGCCCCTGGAAACAATCAAAGCAAGTAATTAAATCGTAGAACTATGACTACAGATGACTCTATCCACTACACATCCTGTTGCTTTCATCCCGAAACAAACAAAAATAATGTGTCGTCATGAGGGATCCATTGAGATCCCGCCACACTTGGGAGTCCAACAACCGACGACTGATCTTCGTGGTCCAAATAGAATTGCTGATTGAGTTTTGTCAGTGTCGGTCAGCACCGTCCAAGCTAGACTGCGCTTGAAGGCGCACATCTTCGGTGCACTCAACACTGCTTCCTGCGGGTACGTCACTGCTGCCGGTGTTGCCGTCGGCCGGCTCCGAAGCTGACCTCAAAGGGGCATTGCTGATGATGCTTGTTCCCCACAGTGTGATACACACGATGGGTTCTGGCATTAGGAGTACAGTGAAGAGAATGTGCCAAAGTGGATGTCCGCCAGCAGGAAAACGTTGCCCCACCACAAGCATTCCAGCAGGAACGACCATCAGGAGACAACGACATGATGACAAGAAAACACAGGTTGCAGCCAGTTGCGAACTGTGTATAAAGATAGGGTTTGGCTCGTCGAGGTGGTCCTGGTGGCCGTGGTGGGCACCTTTGGTGCTCCAGGGTTGCTTGATGTGTGCAAGAACGCACAGGTTGCAACCAGTTGCAGCTTGTGTCTGGGCACAAGAACGGCCGGGTGTCGTGTTTGTTGTGGGTGGCAAGAAGGCACATGCCGCAACCAGCGATTTCGGTCTGGATAGTATAAGAAGTCCGTGTTGACGACATTCCGTTGCTTCCCGCCGCCATGTCTGTCCATACCTGCACGTTTTGGTGCTGCAGTGGTCGAGTACAGATGTAGCATACGCAATGCCTCCCGAAGGCTCCCGGTGCAATGGGGCCTCCAAACTCCTGGGAACGAGGGCACATGTAGTACGCAGAACAGAGACGCAGAGATGGAGACGCGCGTATGTATGTATAGTTCTTGTGTATGTGCATATGTAAGTCTGTGTGCATGTCACGTATGTATGTACATATGTATGTAGGTATGCAAGTATGCAGACGTATGTAGGCATGTGTATGTGTATATGTATGTGTATGCGTACGTGTGTATGAGTGTATCTGTGTGTATTTATGTCTGTACGTATGGGCGTCTGCGGCGTATGTACATGTGTGTGTGTGTACCTGTACATGTTCATGTTTATGTAGATATTATGGGCGTATGCGGCGTATGTACATGTGTGTGTGTGTACCTGTACATGTTCATGTTTATGTAGATATAATATACATATGTACTCCCGTGTGCAGACACAAACACACGAAGACAACGCGACATTGTTATACAGCCACGGTTTCCACCCTAACCCGATTTTCTGTTTCATGTCATGGACATGTCTTCACGGTCGCAAGCCTTTGTGTAACGATTGCATGGTCCTTCATTGCTTGGGCAGCTACGCTGGCATTATCCTGCCTTCTTCCGTGGTCGCATGCTGAGAAATCATGACGTAATTGCCTATTACCCCAAAAACCTCGGCACAAGCGTCAACGAGCTCCGAGAGTAACAAGGCACGCGACCACAGAACAAGTTCATGGATGAAAAACACAGCCGCATTCGCGGAACAGCCCGCAGAATCTTGGTCGTGGGCAGCGCGTGTTTATCATCGTCGGCTTCGGCCTGACTGCTAATAGCTTTGTGGGAACATCACATTGACAACTACTGACAACGTTAAAGAACCAGGACGAATCCGCAAGAAATAACGTGCTTAGTGCGTCCATATCCCCTGAAGCCCAAGAGCATCTGTATTCTCATCCGATTCTCGTAAAATTAGAAATACAAGGTCCCAAGCCCAAAACCCCAAATACACAAAAGACTTCCGACCGCCTTGCACAAGACCGACAGCATCCCACCAGCTGCAAGAGTGTTAAAGGGTGCACGCGCGGCTGCCAAAAAGTTGAGCAAACGCTTACCGATTGCACTTTACGCAGAACTTACACTTAGAACGATGCTGCAAAGGTGAATGCTTCTGGCTGCACTAAACGTCGGAGCTGCTACCGTTCCACCGCGCCGGAAGCGCCTAACAAGTTTGTGTAGGCTGTGTCGGTGACCTGCGTGTGTCTTCGGGCCCCACTGTTTTTGCAAACCGCGGATGTGATTTTAGGGCGAAGGTCCATGACGAGGAACCCCCCATCGCGTCCCTCTCCCTGGGCTGTGTACTGCCGTCATGGCAATCGTGCAAGCGCTGGCGGAGGCGAAGTCAGCAAATTCATGCTTTGTAGTTGGCCGTGACGGTCCAGGTTTTGACAGGGGTTAGCCGCCGAGTTGACCGGCCCAATAGCCAGAGCAGACTGCCCTCATCATGGAGAGGGGCGCGTGACCTGGTCGCAATTGAGCCATCCTGGCCCGTTCTGCGAACATTCGGCGAGCTGTCGGTGGTATATAGTGCGTGTTCTGGGGCGGCCCTCCTGCCGAAAGGCTTCACAACCAAGCAGACGTACTACTGGTCGCAACTCGTCCTAGTTTGTCCACGTCCCTTAAGCTCCGGCGCCACCCTCTGTGCCGGGATCTAGTACTCGAGCTGATCGGATATCCCTAATACAGGGGCCTTAGCAATTCGAATAGGGTTTTGGTGCATATTATAGTATCGATGATTATAATAACGAACCCTACAAGAATAGCATTGGCAATTATTTAGGTCGCCAAGTATCTGTTGTTCAGGAATACCGCCCACTGGAACAACTAGCCAGAATATATATATATATATATATTAGTATCAAGTATTATATAGCAAGGAAACCTATATAACCCCATAAGAACAGTATTGTTAAGTAATTATTTAGGCCCCTATAGTATCCTCTGTTGAAGAATACCGCCCACTGCTACAGCTAGCCAGGAAGGCGCTGCTGGCTTCCTACGATTCTCTTTCGTGATACCCCCATTTGGAATGGCAGTATATTTGCTAGTATAGTACCAGTCTAGCCACCCTAAACCCTAAACCCTAAACCCAAGTCTAGTAATGGGATTTTTCATCCCCTGGCCTCGTGACTAAGCCACGCAGCTGGAGGTTGGTCATGGGTCTGGCGATATTGCCAAGCCTGTTTGCGCTTCCAGCATACGTGCGACACTCCTATAGCAAAAAAAACCTTCTGCTTAGCTGGAGACCCTGGGCAACCTTTCAAATTCGCTGTCGCAAAAGAGTGTCATGTCAACTTACAGATGCTAAGTGCTGTCTAGATTCGAGTCTAGATATGCACCAAACAGAAGTGACTCCGTGTTTGGCAATTTGCTTGCCCGGGCCTCTTTTTGGCGAGCTCTTTGCTTCTGCTGAACCTTCCGGTTGCGCGCCGCCACCTCAAGGTCAAATGCGGTGCTGCTGGCGGTTTGCTGAAGCAAATGCAGTGCTGAGGCCAAAGAGTCTTCATGCACGCTGAACCTCCGTTGGATCGGAGACTGCTTGGGGTGGCATGGAAGATAGACAGATAGAAAGAAAGATAGATAGATAGACGGATAGCTGAATAGAAAGAAAGATAGGTAGATAGATAGATAGATGGATAGATAGATGGATAGCGAACGAACGTACGAATGGTAAGGAAGTTGCGAAAATTGCCAAGAATGTGATCTAAGCTTGATATTTTTGTGGCTGCACCACCTGTACTCATCATGCTGAATACTTGCACTGCAGTATTGATGTTGTTTGTAGAAAGAGCGGTACGAATTGTGTACTAGAGGCGAGAGATTTGGCAGCACAATCATAATTATTATAAGTAGACTATAAGCAGTAGAATTTGAGGCACGAACCTGACGAAGAACACGCACTCTCATAGTTCCCGGGCCCTACCTATGGCATCAACAGTCTTAGGAAGCTTGACCAATGAACCTTACGCCGAGGACTGTGTAAGGTGCCATGTGAGACTGCACCGAGATGCTAGAAGGGACTGTACGTAGTTAAGGCAGCTATAACATGAAGGCCAGCACGAGTGAGTCTCTGATGACAAGGCAATATATGTCAACATCTGAGAAGAACTCTGCATAAAACAATCAAGTGCACTCCCACAGCCCCGGGACTCTAAATTGTATGTATGTACATGTATACACGTATATGCACATCTCATTTTGCATATTATGTACCTTGATTTGCATTTTTGCGAAAAGCTTCGGCTTCGGGTTCTTCGTTGGAGCGTTTTGTCGGTTGGCATTAAATTGATGCATCTATTTCATACAAACTTAATACTGTCATATGTTATAGACTGAAAGCGTCCTACTTATGTCTTAATATACATTGCCTAATTACTTATTTAAACGCCGGGGTCGGTGGTTGTTGCGCCTCGGAGGCACCGGATTTTCAAGATTTCAAAACATCGGTGGCAGCGAGGTTTCGTGCATCTTGGGGGTCCAGAAACGTGGCTCGCACCTCGTTCTTACGAGGGATCATGCAAAAAAACGACCCGTTTTGGCAACCCTCATCGAGCATCATGGGTTTTTGGTCTCAGTTCTTCCATAACACATGATGGGTGCGACCGGGCGCGACCTCGTTTTTCGAAGTCCTGAAAAGGAGGTACTTGAGGAAAATGGTTTTGGGTGTGCTGTCGAATCCGCTGGTACCGCGGGGGAAGCGTAACTCCAAAATGCAGTTTTCGAGTACAAACGCAATACATGGAACGCTCTCCGAGTCGTGCGGCTTCCAAGATGCTGTTACTATTTTTCGAGTACAAATGCAGAACGCGGAACACTCGCGGAACGCTCTTCGAGTGGTGGGGCCTCCAAAATGCTGTTTTCGAGTACAAACGCAGTAGGAACGCTCTCCGAGCGTTGCAAGCCTCTAACTTCTGCGTAGCACGCGCAATGCAATCCAACAGGGTTCGGAGCTGTTGGGCCTCCAAACTGCTGCTTTCGAGTATAAGCGCAATACGTGGAACACTATTCGAGTGGTGGGGTCTCGAAAATGCAGTTTTCGCGTAAAATCATAGTATGTGGAATGCTTTCCCAAGCTATGGAAAAAAACCGGGTGCGACATTGCAGAAAACGAAGTCGCGCCCGGTCGCACCAACCCTTGCCTTCCACAACAAATGATGCGTGCGACCGGGTGTACCTCGTAAACAACGAGGTTGGCTGCGACCGGGTGCGACCTCGTAAAACACGAGGTCGCGCCCGGTCGCACCCACGCGTGCCTTACCAAACAAACCATGGGTGCGGCCGGGAGCGACCTCGGACAAAATCACCCGGTCGCACCCAGCCTTGCCTTCCACAACAGATGACAGATGCGACCGGGTGCGACCTCGTAAAAAGCGAAGTCACACCCGGTCGCACCCACGCGTGCCTTCCATGTCCAATGATGGGTGCGACCAGACGCGACCTCGCTTTTTAGGATGTCGCGCCCGCCCTTGCCTTCCATAACAGATGACGGGTGCGACCCGGTGCGACCTCGTAAAGAACAGGGTCGCGCCCGGTCGCACACACCGCTGCCTTCGGAGGCGACATGGGGTTTATGTCGGCTTTTTGACAATGGCTCGTGCGCTTTGGGCTGTATGTGCTCTTTGCCCAGCATCATTGGGTTTCTGTCTGAATTCTTCCAGAATTAACCAATTATGGGTACCACCAGGTGCGACCTCGTGAAAAACGCGGTCGCACCCATCCTTCTGCGAAGTCCGGAATGCGCTTAGCACGCGCATTGACATCTTTGTATTGTAAGCGTTGTCACCTTCAAGGACACTATAAGCTTGTAACGCGATCGTCCACCCTGAAATTTGTGCACCTTTGTGGTGTATAGGCATCGTGAATCTTGAGAACAATACAAGTTTGTGATGCGAACGTCCACCCTGAAATTTCTGCATCTTTGTCTTGTAGGCGTTGCGAACTTCAAAACATCACACTATATACAATTGGAACTCGAACATCCACCCTGAAATTTCTGCATCTTTGTACTGTAGGCGTTGTGAACTTCAATTACCTCACACGATGTAAGTTTGGAACTCGAACATCCGGCCTGAAATTTCTGTATATTTGTATGTAGGCGTTGTGCACTTTAAGGACAATATTCGGTTGTAATGCAAACGTCCAGCCTGAAATTTCTGTATGTTTGTATTGTATAGGCGTGGTGGAACTTTAAGAACACTATGATTTTGTAACTCCTGTAGTGTATAGGCGTTGTGAAAATTTGTGAAGTTCGCCGACGTAGGCGTCATGAAATTCTAGCACTCGATAAGTTTGCAACGCGGACGTCCACATTGAAATATCATTTGTCTTTGTATTGTAGGCGTTGTGAAAGTTGTTTTCAGACATTACGAGCATGTTTGTGACGTGAATATCCACCCTGAAACTGCTGTATCCTTGTATTGTAGGCGTTGTGACCCATAAGGACACGATACAGTAAGCTTGTAACAGGAACGTCCACACTGAAATTTCGTATTGTAGGCGTTGGGAACGTTGTTTTCAGACATTACGAGTATGTTTGTGACGTGAATATCCGCCCTGAAACTGCTGTATCCTTGTATTGTAGGTGTTGTGACCCATAAGGACACTATACAGTAAGCTTGTAACAGGAACGTCCACCTTGAAATATCTGCATCTTTGTATGGTAGGCGTTGTGAACCTTATATAAAGGGACTGCAAGTCTGCAACACACCGTCCACCATGAAATTTCTGTATCGTTGTATTGTAGGCGATGTGAACTTAAAGGACACTACAGTATAAGCTTGCAACGCGAATGTCCACCCTTCAATTTCTGTGTCTTTGTAGTGTAGGCGTTGTGAGCTTTGTAAAAGGACACTAAAAGTTTGTGATGCGAACGTCCGCCCTAAAGAACATTTTGTATCTTTGTCGTGTATAAGCGTTGCGAACCTTAAGGACATTACAAGTTTGTAACGCGAACGGCCACCCTGAAATTGAATGTATCTCTGTATTGTAAGCGTTGTGAACTTTAAGGACGTACTATCAGCTTGTAACGCGAACGTCCACCCTGAAATCTCTGATATACTTGTAATCTTTGTATTGTCAGCGTTGTGAACTTCAAGGACGTACTATCAGTTTGTAACGCGAACGTCCACCCTGAAATTTCTGATATACTTGTAGTGTAAGTGTTGCGAACTTTAAGGACACTGCAAGCTTGTAACGCGAACGTCCACCATGAAATTTCTGTATCTTTGTAAACGCCCACCCTATTTCGGTCTCTTTGTAATGTAGGCGTTGTGAACTTTGAAGACATTACAAGTTTGTAACACGATCCGCCCTGAAATTGCTGTGTCTTTGTTTGCTAGGCATTGTGAAATTTAATCACACTAGAGGTTTGTTGTAGTTCTTGTCGTTGCGGTTGTTGTCGTGGCTGTCGTTGTCGCTGTCGCTGTCGCTGTCGTTGTCGTCGT